CAAAACAAAAAAATATTAAGTGATGATAAGTGAACGAAAGAAAGTGTATGAGAGAAAGAAAGAGAAGGAGAGAATGTATTGCGTGCGACTAACGAATGGATGAGTATGAAAGAGAATATAGAGGAGACTAAAGTTGTGTGTATATTTAGTTAAGTTTTATATTTTTCCACATTCAGTCATTAATCGTTGGTAGGATTACATAGACAATGTTTCTGCCAATAATACATATAATTAGCAATTACTAATAATTTTATTGCAAATTTATTTCTGGATTATAAATATATACTATTTGTAATCAACAACATAGATAGGCTTATTAAGTCAATAATATAGAAAAATATACCTAATGAAAATATACACACGATAAATTTAATCGGTATCGATCGTTACGATAGCCCAATCTATGTCGATTTCGATTGACTTGAAAGTCAAAGAGGGCCAATCGATTGGTTTGGAAAAAAAAAGAAAAAGAAATATTTGTAAATTCATGTTAGAAAAAAAGTTGTCAATTATTATGAATAATGGTAAAGTGATTATAGAATGGTGTAGTTTCGATCCTACCAACCTTTAGATCGGATTTCGTGTATGTACCTAATCTTTGGTCTTTGCGACTTTAGGATCGCAAAAATAGAAAGTGTAATGCGGTATCGATTCATCAAACGGAACATTATCTAGAATTATGTTTATTTGATGAAATGGGCTGTCAAAAGAATTTATTAAGAAAATGTTAGATCTTTCAAGCAAATTGTTGAAATACAATTATAAGGGATCGCATTTAGCATGAAGTAAATGATTAAAATTTTACAAAAAAAAGAAAAAAAAAACAAGTCGGCCTTGTATGTTGTACGTAATCTGCCAATAATACATAATACGTACACTTAATGCGTATTCTGAGTAAATCCTGAGTAAAAAAAAATTTAATCGGCAAAAAAAAAGTACAAAAATATTTCATTTAAAAATCGATTACTAATTAAAGTTTGAATTTTTTGAGTACCATTATTCAACAATTATTACAAAGGAATTCGTTTTTAAAGTATTTTTGAATTTGTAGAAATTATAATAATAATGACTGTAGTGGTACATAGACATTACATAATAACAGCAGTTGTTATGTAAGGTATATTATTATTATTATTATTATTATCATTAATATTAACTATTATTATTATTATTAATATTATTATTAATATTAAATTATTTCATTAAATGGAATTTATTTTTTTAAGAGCCTCTTCAAACCTGCAATGTCTTTCTCTTTATTCTAGCGAGACAAGTGAATTTTATTTAAAGTTAGAAAACTTTACTCTGGCATATAAGTCATTTATGAAAAAAAACACGCTTGATTTTATTTTCATGTAATTTGAATGAATTTACTGTTTACAAATACATGTTCCTTTTTACGTGATACTAGAACAAATACTTTGCAGCTGCGAACAATACAAAGATCATATACGATATTCAGAGAATGTATACGCAATTTGATACATACTAGATATACAATGCTTCATCATCATCAGAATGAGTTCATTTTGCTATAAAGTAATCATTGTTTTTGGTTTGTCAAAACATACACGATATAGATGGTAGATCAGCGATATATAGCGTTTAATTTTACTTATTCTCTGCCTCTCTGAATATAATTTATCGTGGTATCGTACAATATTGCTTTTGAAAAATATCAGAAAGTTAAGCGTTTTCGCTGAGAAATTAAAAAAAAAAAAGAAAAGAAAAAGACAGAAATCAACCGTGTCATTACACAGAAATTTCGAGAGAAAAACTTCCTAAAAGTTGAGATAAAAAGAGTTGACTTGCGTTCAAATAGTTATGCCCTTCGTCGAAAGATTATTATGTTTAACAATATTACAGTGTATACAGATAATTTATTATCACACACACGTCTAGACTTTATTCTGTCGTATTGAATTTCTTTAATATATTCGCTTTTTTGAGCATTTTCTCTAAACGATTGCAACGAAATTAACATGAAAGAAAAATGTGTCAAGATAAATATATACAGGAAAGCGTAGGAGTTGTATCAGTGTTGAAAATCACGAAATTAGTATCCACATTTGTAAAGTAACGTTAATTGTATGTCTGCGTGTGTATGATTTATTTGATTAAGTATAAATTAGTCAAGGCAAGAAAAATGTAAATTCTAAGTGCAAATGTATCCACCGATTGGAGAAACGCAACGATTGAAGCGTATAATGTAAATAATCATTCGAAATATTCTTTGGGCATAACGATATTAAATTTAACATGCGTTGCCGTTGTGATCGTTTAAAATATTGCGTAGTGTGGCTGATGCAATAAAATGGAAAGCAAAATTTTATGGACATATTAGCACCGATTTTGTAATCCTATTCTTGTTATTAAGTGCATCGCAGATGAATAATAGGTATTCGTCTAAAGAAATCCTTATTCTCATGTGTTGTGTGCGCTTTCATATCAGTATGATCACATACTTGTTGATCGTCAATACTAATTCTAGCAATACATTAGACTATTTTACATTATGTTTTTATTTTTTATTTTATATATTGGAATTGTTCCGTAACCAAAATTCAAGATTTGCAATGAAATTTTGGCTCTCAATCTTTAGCGATACTGATGTTTGTGTCTTAGCACGTGTAATGATTTAATCATCAGTATGTTAATTGTTAATGTATGCACTTGATGCGATAGGAAGATTTCTCGCGAGAGTGTCATTGATTGCGAGAAGGAAGAACAGCGAGAAACGATTCGTGTATTTTCTTTTCTTGTAAATTAGAGAGTGCTCTTTCGGTATAAAATAATGTTTCGAGAAGATAATGGAATTGTCGTGGATATAAAATGAATGAAGTTTAAGCGTGGGTGTGATAAACATGCTGTTTTCGTTTATTAATGTTGATCATCATCGGTATTGGAGAAAGATTTTTCAGGAATGTGTGTGTGTTAACGTATATAATTGCACATTCGATATATTTCATATTTGAGTATGATCGTGGTACGTTATAATATTTGCGATATAATATTTGATATAAAATGTTAGCAAATATGAAAGGAAATATTGAGATGTCATGTCATATTGAACGTAATCGATTTTTTCTATCCAGAATTCTCATATGTCTCGTAATTATCATACCAGGAAAGTGATCTTTTGTAGACGAGAAAGAGAATCGTTTGCTATAATTTAAATATTCTCATCTACAATGTGTTTATCTTCCAGCGATTGCTTTCAACAATTGTATCGTTCTGTACGTGTTATTTTTCTATTCGCTTAATTTCTCGTGTCTTGGATACAGTTAGCTCACGAAATGAATTCTTTACCAAACGACGAAGCAATGCCACGATTTTAATTACTTTCGCTCGATTATTGTCTATATCGTACCATTAGACTGACCAATCGCAAGTGTCTTCGAATGTTTGAAAGAATTCCTCTGATTATGAGATTGCGTCGCGTTAACGTAATGAGCTCAATAGTGACACGAATTCTAAAACAAAGAAAAAAAAAAAAGAGATATTAAGAAAAAAGAATTAAGAAAGAGCGTGCGTTTGAGAAAGGAGAAAGCGAGAAAGCATGTTAGAGGAAAGATGGACATGAGTATGAAAGTGAGACTGGAAGAGAGCAAGGAGGAATGTATGATTCTAGATTGTATAATACGTGGTTTGTAATTGTACATACGAGAAGAAATCATTGGCAGCAATTTAAACAGAATACAAATATCTATGTATAAAAAGTAATAAGTACTAATACATACCCTTATATATGTGATAAGGTTTGTAATATTTAAGGGAGGCCGATAGATTGTATAACCTATTAGATCTCAGTATAAGTTACTAGATAAAGACGTAATAATTCGTAAGTAACACCAAAATCACTCCGCTGTATCAAAAAATAATTTTTATAAGTTCCCACGGACGCACATCATCTCCAATAGCACATGAGTTTTAGTAGACTTATTACTACTAACGATAGCAAGACGTTAAGCTGGTTGTACATAAATAATAATGATGAAATGAGGAATAAATGGCTAAAATAAAAAGAAAAGCTTGATGTTGTTAAGTAAAAGAGAACGTATAGAAGTGTAAATTTGTTTACATACTTCCACCGATTTTTATTCAAAGACACCTTATAATTTTCTCCTGTATCTGTCATCCACATCAATTAAAAGAAGCAAATAAAAGAGAATTATACTTTTGCACTGAAAAATGCATTTAAACCGTTTGTTTAATATGTTTTCTCAAGATCCAGCTAAACCGTCGGTATTTCGTATATAGTCAAATCGCCAATACTTTGTAGAAAGTATACTTGACCAAATTTTGGATTTTTTTTTATTTGATAAACTTGGTATAACATCAAATAACTATAAGTACGAATATATAAATGTTATTTTATTCAAATCTCTATTTACTTAACAATATCAAATTGAACAATATTATCTGTTCTCTTAATAATCTCTAAAGATAAAAAAAGAGACATTTATTACATATTTGAATTAATGTTACGAGGCAATTGTGAATAAAAAGTTACTGCAGGTTATTAATTATAAGTATATATATTACCTTTCTTAGTTTATAATTTTGCATGTTATATATATATACATATATATATATAAAATATAAATATATAAATACGGAGCGTAAAAGAGGAAAAGGCAGCGAGAGAGCGAAAGAGATAGAATGAAAGTGTTAAATAATCGTCGATAGAAGAGATACTAACTGGAATATGATTGTCTTATATTTGACGTTTTCTCTTATGTTGCGAATCTATTAGAATGAATAAGAAATATTGTATATACTATTAATACACAGATAAAACGATGCATATTACACGTTATTATAATCTTTACAAATATGCTAATTACCCTAAGATTTAATTATTAATAACTAATTGAAAGTAATTGTTATGGTAGTTTTCTTCATTATTACCTCATCCTTTTAAGATAACACACGTGTAAACTTTTCAATTGAAATAGGACAAAAAGTAAATAATTTCTCAATAATTACACAAAAAAATCTTCAAATTAAAGTACTATATTGTTTTTATAAAATATTACACATTTTAATATGTATTATTCAATGAATTTAAGTGTCACCGCTTCTTTTTTGAAGCGATTAAATTCTTTTAATCTGTAAGCTTGCGTGCGAATAAAACCACCCGCGTCCTCAGGTTCGAAGCCTCCTTTTATGTCCATCGAAACTAGTCTTTCATTGTATAAAGATGCTTTGCTATGTCGGCTAAGTATAGACACTGTAAGATTGAAGCATGATAAGAATTTATTTGAAATTTGCCTCATTAATGATACTGACCGGTTCCTTTGTACAATTGTAATCGAACCGCTCCAGTTACGTATTTTTGTGAATATAATATACCATTCCGTACAAAGTCACATTCTGGGGAAAACCAGAAACCTAAGAAATATTTTTTAATTGTGTTTGAATATATTTTTTCATTTTACGAAATTACTATTATTATTATTATTATTATTTTTCTTCTACCATTATAAACGTAATCTGACATTTTGTTGGTCAGATAAGACTTTACTCTTGAAACCTCGCGATCTAATACGAACGTTTCCAATTCTTGATGTGCCTCGTGCAGAATTTTAGCTCCTGGTGATTCGTAAACTCCTCTAGACTATTAATGCCAATAGTACATAATTATTACTGAGATATTCATAATCGAGTTTCATTTTACTCACTTTCAAACCAATAAAACGATTCTCAACAATATCGATACGTCCTATACCATGTATTCCACCGATTTCATTCAAACATTCTATTATTTTAAGCGGGGTGAGAAATATCTCATTAGTTTTCAATTTTTTGACAGAGGACGGATAGCCTTGCTCAAAACTGACTTCAATTTCTTCCGGTTCTGTCGGGGAATTTAATGGATCATTGGTCATTTTGTATATTTGTTTTGGTGCTAATGTAGCAGGATTTTCCAAGATACCCGATTCATAACTAAAATTGTATTTAGATTTCAATTTTTCTTCTTCCGTATGTTTAAATTTATCAACTATAATTGTGTCAGCTATACCTAATATGTAATAAATTTGCGTCAGTACTCCATGGTTCTTTTGGTGTCGCTGAAATAGGGATTCTATTTTGTTGTGCGTATCTTAGCAAATCTGATCTTCCTGAAAATCTTGTATAAAATTCTTTCTCTCTCCAAGGTGCAAGTATCTGGATAATGAAATGAGAAGGTTGTACACAAGGTGTTTAAAAATCTATGAAAAGAATTAAAAATTGAAATATAGTACCTGAACATCAGGAAAAAGGCTGTAACAGCTCAATTCGAAACGGACTTGATCATTACCTTTTCCGGTCGCTCCATGAGCAATTATAGACGCATTTTCGGATTTTGCAATTCTCACCAGAGCTTCACTAATGCATGGTCGAGCGATTGCTGTGCCCAAAAGATATTTACTTTCGTAAAGTAGCCCGCATGCGATAGCTGGCCATACAAACGAAGATAGAAAAACCTCTCTAAGGTCTTCTATTATAACCTTTTAAATAAAATAAAGTCATTTACAATTAATTAGTAACAGATTAGTAATTTTTTTCGTTGTGTAAAGTACTTTCGATGCATAATTTAGGGCATATCTATATCTGTAAATTAATTAAAATTTTGTCGATACCTTTACAGCGCCAATTTTCAATGCTTTCTCTCTAGCGACGTTGAAATCCTCTTCTTGTCCAATATTTGCCTAAATTGAAATCCTTGTATAATGTTAATATTAAAAAAAAAAAAAGAAAAATTATTTAAAGTACTTTTACCATATAAGCGATAACTTGATATCCTTTTTCTTTCAACCACAGTAGTATACAGGACGTATCTAAGCCACCACTGTATGCTAGAACAACTTTCTTTGATGTTTCAGACATTGTTTGAAGTTTTAATGAAGTTTTAATGATTTGAAAGCACTATTAAAAGCAAATACAATATTTTAAAATGAGTTCGATTTCATTATATAGACAACTCTGAGCGTTGACCTATGATTGACGATGATAACCCATGAATGATTGCTGTAATAACAGTATACGATGACAGCTTGTTTGTTAAAATTTTATCTTTACTTAATATGGTGCGGTATGTGTATAAAAAAAGAAAGAAAATTGGATCGAAATGTAGGCCTTTATAAGCAGAACATTTTGTTTCAACTACAATCTACATACATACATGTATTCATATAATATATTAATATATTATATAATAATCAATACCGTAAACTTTGTAATAATCTCGCCGCTAAGTAATCGCAATATTAACGATCATTAACAGACTAACTTCTACCGATTGAAAGCGATATACAATTGCTCTGTATATGTGCAGCAGAAGTTTCAACATGTAAGTACTTATCAATGTAGTAAAGATTTTACTTTGAATTAAACAGATAGAAGTCTTTTATAATTGGACAGCTTTCAGATTGATATAAATGCGCGCTTTGATAAACTAGAAGCGGCATTTGTACTATATATATATAATTTAATACATATATATGCTAGTCAAATGCACTTGTTCAATTAACGAATCGATAATATAACAAAAGTACAGTAAATAACTAAATGTACATTTATCACTTTATTGTACAGTAAGATACTTAAACATTTGTATCTTTAAAGATATTTAAACAGTTTTAATCATTCATAAAATAAATATCGATTTTATCTAACATTTTCACATAAATTGCGTTCCACTGATATTAATACGACTAAAATAAATATATGATACTCAATTGTCATATAAATTGAAGGAGCAATACTGACTTTTCAAATGGAGTTGATCAAGTCTCCTTCATCATAGTGCAACAATTTTGGAGCGGGAGATAACGAAATACTAATAACAAGAAATTTACATGAATATCACGATTTTCCACTACAATACATCAAATTTCTTTGCTAAACATGTCGCTTATTATTAACAAGGTGTAGTATGACATAGAATAACATACGATATCCGAGCTAGATCAATCGCGAGCCTAAATTACCATTAAGCACCTCCGTACGATTAGCATCAATATTGCCAACATGTTTATTCATTTCATATTAATTTTTTTATTCTTGCAGGCACTTAACACCGGATATCTTTTTCTTCTGGCGCCATTTCCATTCTGGTCATATGATGTTTACGATATGCCATTCTCCAATGTTTTTAATCAGTCGCTTAACTACACGACTTAAACAATTGACTGTGTATTCCTTATTTTAATTTTAATTGTAATTCGAGATCATTCATGAAATTTCGTAGCTTTTGTTATTGACGGAGCCAAAACTAATGGCACATTAGGAATGCGTGAACGTGTCTTTATTTTGTTTATAACACAAAAATTTCTTTATACGTGAAGTTTGCTCAGGTCATCTAAGAAAGATTTCGGTGTTATTATGTGCGATGAACCTGAAATAAAGTTATAATTTAGTGCTGAAATAAGTTTAATTAAATGAAAATTTCGAATATATATACACTTACCAGTTATTACTTCCCAATTTTTCAAAGCATTTGTAACCTCATAAGCGCATCGTATTTCAGAGAAGCAAACACCGCCAACGACGAAAACGATTAACCGTGGAACGTTCTTAATGGTTTGTGAACCTTTATCCTTGTGCCAATGTCCATATCTAGCACTAAAAACAAATTATAATGATGTTAATATTAATGTTATATGTATAAAAGTTTTTATTATACCTAGTTGGAGCATGATATCCTGAACTTGCTGCTCGACCAGCCAAGAAGGGAAAATGTTTAGAATCAAGTTTATCTTCAATAGCATCTTCCATAATATCTTTCACAACTGGAGTCCAACGACTCATTTGATACGTTTGCTCCGTAATTCTTTCTTTGCGTTGTACAGTATACAATTTTCTGCGATTTCCGCCCTATAAGTATATTATAAAATAGCATCAATTTAAAGGCAAAGATACGTATACGGTAAAATAAAATACTTACATCCACGACTATATTTATACCAAGGTTTGCCATGTTTACTATGGTTTGTTTATCATCAGCAGATATTTGAGCATGATGAACTAGGCGGTTGAGATTCTCATCAGAAATGCCATTTTTACTAATAACATACAGTGCAATAATTCGTAATTTGTCTAAATGATTGACTGTTTGGTCAAGTAAGATTGGAGTAATATTTTTCATTTGATCTTTGATACGTTCGCCTTCAGCATCTGTACCCATTGCTAAATCCTAATAAAACATGATATATAATTATAATAAATAAATTAATATGAGAATTAAAAGACGCACCATACATACCTGTTCTACTTTGCAGAGTTTATCTACATTTCCTTGATAACGTTTCATACAATCTTCCGCTAATTGTAAATGTGTTGCATATTTGCTCAATTCCTTTTGATACTGTGGCATTTTTTTGATCATTTGTGAAAGATCTCTCATGCTCTGTTTGTCTCCCTGTGGCATTCGTTTTGATTCTGTGAATTTCTTCAAATTTTTAGTAACGTTCCTAGAAACAAGTAACATGTATTTCGTAAGCGATACCGCACTATTTTCTATCATGAACTTCTCAATTATTTTACTCACTGTGAAACTACAGCAATATGCTGATGTCTAAGATCTACCCACAGATCGTCATTTTCATCCAATAACACTTCTTTCTGCACTCCTGCCGAAGCTTCGAATCTTATAAAAAATAAAATTGAACGTTAAAACAGCATTTGAAACTGATGACAATAAATATCACGCTTACCTGTAAACATCATTTTCAATATCTAACAGATCGTATGCCATAGCTTGCAACGTCAATTCGTGTAACAGTGGTGAAACGCAGTCGAATCCTCTGTCCAGGATGAGCAATTGAGAGCGTGCTTTCTCCGGTCCTTCGCCCATCGTTGGTTCATCTGCTTTGTAAGCATCTAATTTTTGTTGAACCATATGTGCCAGCTCAATATTTCGATCAAAATCGCTGTAGAGATAATTAAGAATTAAGATAGAAAAGAAATAATCTAACTGTTAGATAGAACTGTACAAAGAATTTGAACTGTTACAATTTTATTAATTATTGCAATACAAAAGAATAGAAAGATATAACATACCTGCGGTATCTAACCGATGGATATTCCCCAAGAGTAGCGCAAAGCGTCGCGATCTGTTCAGCTATTCTTTCCATATTAGCTGTTCTCAAGTTGGAAAAGGAAGCGTTATAAAAGCAAGCGAATGTTTCGCGCGAGTCCAACGAGAAAACCTGTTTGATTATATATTCGTTTTAATATTACCTTTGCACTGATTGCCTTACACTATAAGCTATCGTAATTTCATATTTCAATGGGTAATATAATTATAAACACATATTAGTACATACATACATACATGTAAATTGATAATATTCCAACAATAATTAAGTAATTAAGGATAAAGAATTGCATGCGTTGAAAAGAAGTTTGAACGCGAAAGGAAACACAGGAACATACATGTAAGGTAATTGATAGAAGTCTTTCGCCTACGTTCTACCCCGTATACTAAAATAAAGAACTCAAGCATACTCAAGAAATTCTGTTTGTCGTAACTGAGAGTACTGGAAATATATGTAATAACTATCACGGTTCGCAACTATTACTAGCAGCTACAATTTTTCTTTTTCTTGTTCGTCACCTGCGACTCGTAAGGCAGGAAAGCGATGTTGATCTCTTTCAGGGTTTTGATCTTTTTAGCGGCGAGAGACTTGCAGAGTTCATTGAACAGCTCCTCCGGACACACTGGTAGCGTGCAAGCATGAATGCATTCCATCGTTAGTACGTGCTTTATATGTGAGTATTGTACAAAATAAGGGAGTAGGAAACAAAGTCAAATAATTCTGTCGACATTGTCATAATTTCCGATCGAGAGATTGAAAGATAAGCTTTACAAGTTGAAATACCAGATGGATCTGTAAAGGGTGTTGACACGTGTGTGTGTATGTGTGTGTGTGTCGAGTGTACGTTGAAAAATGTGTGCCCGTCACCACGGAAAACGTATAGTCATCAAACATCTGATTTCTCTGTTACAGTTCTCTTTGCATTACCTGTTCCTCGTATGGTATGAAAGCGATGTTGATCTCTTTTAGTGTCTTTATGCGTTTAGCTACCAGGGAGTGACACAATTCTTTGAACAACTCATCGGGGCATGCTGTAAAGAGATATACTTAAAATCTCATGTGGAACACTAATATCAAGAGTACTGGACTGTCCACTCTCACTGTGCACAATTTTTCGAAATTCCTTGCCTGTTAAATATGTTTTCTTGGGAAAAGAAGAACAAAATCGAAAAATAAACTTTCGTGTGTTTCGCGGGAGTCAAAGTCGTTTTGATTATTTATCATTGCTTTCATTATGACAATGTTTGCCACAATTTTTGCGCAAAGTGCAAAACGCAGCATACCTTCCGTGAAGTAAACGTGGGCTACTTTGTAAATAGTTCTAGTAGGGTTGCTGAAGTCTTCGATCAACTTTTGGACAGAGTTATTGCACGGTGTGATCAGGTAGATCGCCTCCATGGTAGGCAACGGTTCCCGTTTCTTGTTGATATCCTCCACCAAGGTGATGCCTTGAGCACTGATATCGTGCATTTTGCAACACGCCGACACCATCCTCATGGCCAATTGATCGACTACTAAAATACGCCATTGCACGCCGGTTGTTCCGGTCTTCTTTTGTTTGATGACTTCATTCATAATCTCTGTAAGAAAAAAAATTGGACGATGAGAGAATTAAAGTTGTGCAACGGATGTATGTATGTACCTTTATGAGAATATGAAATTCTCAAATTTGTTCAACGTACGTGATACGTTTTCTCATATGCAGAAATCTAAAAATCTATCATTTGATTATAATTTTACTCCAATCGATGTACATTGGAACATGGTTCATACTTTGGGATGTATAATGAAAATGGAATAAAAATGTTACGCTGCAGATTAACAACAAAAACCGTAACATATTTTTCACAGTAATAATAACAATAATCTAGTAGCAGAAGATTTAAAATTGAATGAGAAATATTGGCGCTCTCAACGTGTATTGATCGTTCTTACGAGCAATGACGTCACGCTAGACAGGATTGTATCCAAAGAACAAGGAGCCCCGTTTCGATTTATACGTAATAAGTAAAAATAAAAAAAAGTACAGACTGTGTATTTTGATGATCATTTTGGAAGAAAAAGGCTTTATTCATCAATCGGACATGGTAATTATTATAATAATAATTGGACTCCATCGTAACAATGAAACCATTCTACGGGAAACTGACTCGTTAATTAGATTACAGCGCAGGTCTTGTGTCTATGATAGACTGTCAGAAATTTCGCGACGTATAGTAATCGTTGATGTCGTTCCGTAAAAGATAGCTTTATTCATAGAAAATAAATATTATTTTAATTACATCAAATAAACAATTGGAAAACGCGCTAAACTTATTTATTTGAGGCTGTTTTAGAGAGCAATGACCAATATTAAATTAAAACGAAGCGTATTGAAATGACTCCAATGATTTACATGTAACGTTTACTTTGTAAATTATACACTTTAACGCAAATAATGTACATTCAAGCACGAGTATTTGCTGATAAAATACGTTTCAACGAAACAAGACAGAATCTTCCTCGTGTTTATCAAAAATAAAATTTATTAACCGAATTCTTCAAGATTAAAGTCTAATATTTATTGAGATATCAATAAAGTAAACTTTCAAGATCAATAGATTGAAAGATTGATAAGCATGTTCGCATTCTACGTTATTTTACGCAACGGAGCATGCAATTTTTTCATGGAAAATTCGAGCGTAACACGATTCGAAAACATATTCGTTTGACGTTTTTATCTAGCAGCCGCTTCGTAAACGATGAAATCATCACAGCATATACGCCCTTTTGGAGGTTACAAGCTCTGACAAGTAGTACGAGTAATACGACTCTCATATGAAATGAATCTGCGAGGTTACTTAAACATTACTGTACAAACAAATATCGAAATTTTGTTTGTGTTGCGAAAAATTACATTAGTTTTTTATTACTCACTTTGACCAACTTGTCCCTTGAGCGCCATTTTGCTGGTGACTGACTATGGGTTTGGTTACCAGGTGGCGTTCAGAGGTGACGGAATAGATAATTCCAGAATCATCTTATAATTTGTAATTATCTGCAGTAACGTTCCTTCGTTCGAATCAATGACACCGGGTCGCGATTGGTAACGTAAGAGTTATTAATACATTATTATAAATTATGTACTCACAAGTTTCGTTAAATCAGTTGTGTCGAAGAAATTAATTTGTTCATATTGGAGAAATGTGACGATTGAGAAAAATTTCGCGTTAGTATAATGCGAATTCGGTGACGAAAAATTTGACGATAGGGGAGTGAGATTTCCGTTAAAAAACGTTTCATCAATCAACGCGTTAGGAATATATAACGTGGTTAATTAATTATATAATGAAAGTAAGAAAAATATTTTACTGTTTCTACAGATTACAATAAATATTTCATAAAATACTTTACAATCGCAATATTGTTACAAGACAAATTATCGATATAATTATTGAATCATGCATAAAACGTAATTTTATTTTATAACGTCGTAAATTTCGAGCCAGTGAACATGGCGGCAGCTGGTTCTTTCAATTCGTACCTTCGATACATCGAATCACGGAGCGTCTCGGTTTATCTCGAGAATCGAACGTTAATTCAAAACCTATGTTCAATCTATTCGCGTTTTTCGTAGTTCCGTAGAGAAATAACGAATTGTCTCGGAGAGGTAAGCGAGACGGAAATAAGTGAAAAAAACAGTGGAGACAGTTGCGCGGAATAAAGTATACGGGATGAGCGCACCACCTGAAAGCGAGTGGCCACGACGAAGCGACGCGCGAGGGAGAGAGAAGGAAGATCGGCTCAACGAGGACGTGAGAGGGTTTGTTGAGTTAGTTCGGATTTGTTCGCCGGTGTGTGTGGATCGTGTCGACAGTTTGCGCGCGCAACGCCAGACGGTGCGTGAATGCTCGCATTCGCAGCAACATTTCCGCGTGATTTACTTCTATCGCAATTTCGTGTGTCGTTCTGTCTCGTGCCGGAAAGAAAGAAAAAAAAGGAAATACGTCGGTTTGTCCCGTGACGCGTCGACGCACGAAATAATGTGTGTCGCGGATGATCTTTAACAGTGACAACACGTCCTGACTACGGGCTACTCCGTTCGTTTTCTTATGTGACAAGTGTACCTGTGCGATATATCTTCGGCAGTTGGTGTCGGCCGCAACGAAACGATCCACGATGAAACTGGAGTATCCTTGCCGCGTCGAGGGTTGGCTGAACGTCTGTGGTGAGTACGATTTCCGTATATTTTTCTCCTTCCTTCGAATGAAATTTTTCGCACACTCGCACACACACACATGCACACGACGTGTGTTCTGTGACTTCCTGTCAAATATTACGAGGGAAGAAGATAAGATTAAACGAACAACTCCGAAACGAACGGGCGAAAAGGTTATGTACGTTTGTGTATAAAGAAGTGTCTAGTACAGTGAACCTTCGAGATGCACGTGCGCTCTGCGCCACGAGAACGCTATTTCGCTCATTTCGCTCATTTCACTAGCCGGCACTCAGCCGGGTCCGCACGCTTCGTTGCATAACAACGAGTATAGCGGGAGTCTGTCGTCGTTTCGGTTCGCAGTGGAACCCTCTCTTTCATTTACCGTTCCACGAATATCGTGCAACTTTGTCTTTCACGATAGGTTCTCCGTCTCTATCTCTTGGTAAACAAAGATTAAACAAACTAGCGAGCAAGTTCGTATTAGCATCCGTTCGTTCGAGCTTCTCGATTATTTCGTCGAGGATGAATATATTGTTGATAAATTCTTTACTTGAAAGTCACATTTTACATTTTCATGTAAATCGTACATTTTCGTTTTGCTTCGAATGAATTCAAGTGTTTCTGCTACTAGCAACTGTGTCGAGTTACGTAATATTCCAACGCCCATTTCTAGGTCACAGGGTGAACAAAGGATAAGCGAGGCAAGATTAATTATTACTTTTGTTCGAACGATTTCAGAACGAAAGGAGTTGAGAGTATCATGATCGTCAAAGTTACTCGAATAATATTTACAGAAACGTGGAAACGAGGAAAGGATTCAGGATTTCAAGAACATGTGTATATACGATACTCGTAACAGTGTAATAGAAAATGTATTTAAACGTAGACAGTTCTCAAATTCGTGTGCCATTCACCGCTGACTTTCGTTCACTTCATTAATATTTAATACAAGCGAGCAATAAACGCACCTCTATTATCCAATTATGACTTGCAAAGTTACATCATCGATCTTTTATGAATCTCATGTACGAGCCCTATAAATAAAGACAGATTATAAACAGATTATAAATAAACTAAGAGCAATAAAGTTTTACAATTACATCAAAATAGCAATAAGCTATATAGCACCGTATCTCAGTTTTACTTTCAAATATTCATCGATCGCTGAATATTTCTATGTTCGGGATTTCACTTTTTTTCCCGCGAATGCGTATCGTATCGTTTCCACACTGCTGGACCCTAAGTTACGCAATTACTTTCCGTATGAACGGAGAAAACTAGATCGATCGAACGAAAGCAGGAACAACCGGGTGAGGGAAAAACGCACTCGGCTGCCCTTTATTGGCAGTCCAGTGGTCTGCTCCTAACAGCAGCACTGATATCGTCAAGTTCGGCAATCTTCTTTTTTTTCATTAAAGGCTTGAGGCGTGATTTTTACTTGGCAGCTTGTTTCGCGTCGAGGTTCATTTTCGGGCCGAGTTATTGGCAACGCCTTTTCCGCAATAAGCCGGGATAGTTGACGCTCAAACGCACACACGATGAATATGTATCGAGCTAGGTGCAATAAATCGTTATGGAGACTGGCAGAGGGACCAGACTCCGAATGTCTGCTGGTCCAGTGCCGATGAATCATTGAGCGACTCGTTGTACGAAATACAAAATTAGGAGATAACTCGTTTTTGAGCTACGTCCATTAGACGTGGGATTCGCATTTGCTGTTTGTATCGACGAAAATTTTGCTCGGTTCCCTCTCGAATTCTCGTCCCCTTTGTTACTGCTCTCTCGTCCAGAAACTTGGAAATATCGAGAGGCAAGTCGATTTGTCATTTTCGTTTCTCTTTCCTTCCCATTTCTTTCCACCTCACGTTCACCATTTGCATCGAAATGAAAACATATCTCTTTTGGTGGCCTTCGCCCCATCGCAAAGTCCCTTTGTCTTTCGTCGGCCAGCGAATGGACGTTTCTTGTACCGTGAATTTGTACATATCCGTTGTGTTCGTGGCGGATTTGCGTGAACCTACTCGCTTTTAAACCGTCCGCGTTGCTCTTTATTCAGTTTCCCTCTTCCATTCTCTACGCCTCGAGAATAAAATCGACGACTCTTTTTGCGAATTGCATTGTTTTTCAACTCGTTGGCACACATTTTATTCAATTCTGCTCGTGACTTGGAATTTGTTTTCTTGCTTTACTTACACACATCTACGACCAAGGAGCAATCCAAGTGTACATTCAAGAGAAAGATTTGCAAGTAATGAATTCTTTTTTGCACTACAAAAATCAAGATTCCAATTTATAATTTGTGGTTGAATATATAGTTTTCGTATATTCCAGAAAATGTATTAACATTTACTTGGAAAAGTTTATAAAAAAAAAATGGTTTTTTTAAATATATTGTTCAAACAGATGGTATGCAGCATTAAAACGTCTAATTTCATCAATTTACACAACTCTATCTTTAACAATTTCCGGGGCATTTGACAAAATATGTCTCCAACTTTAAGGGTAGTTTTCACCCCTTCAGTTGCCAATGTCAAATATTCCTTTTCGAAACGTACAATTTCAAAGCGAAATTCCATCGAAATCGGTAACTGACGCTTTGCTACGTTCTCTTTTGGGTTAGTCATTTATGTCTACCGCATGAAATACAAGTTTGTGAGTAGTTCTCGATTTGCGGATTTTAGGCCTTGTAAAAGTTACAGCACGATTTACATCGTTATACAAAACATTCACGTTTCGTATATTCTCTGTCACGCGTTACAATACAGTTAACCAGGTTACAGTTAATAAATGGCTTTGCAAAGAATAATTACGCGGGAGGGGAGGAGGAGTCGGCTCGCTTCAGAATAATCGTCGCTCCACCATATTTCAATAATTGTTACGCAATCCTCTTTGCATACACATCGTCGGCCACTAACCGTTTCTATAGAAGTATTTATCGATCATTCCAAAAACAGGCTAATTCGCATCACGTAATCCACACACATACACACACAAACACACCTGTGGCTCATTGTTCGCTCGCACTCTGCTTATTGTTCCCGTGGGTGTAAATCGCACTCTTTTTTTTTTTTCCTCCCCTCCCCCATTGATTCTGATCGCGCAACACGATCGCACACCCCGAAGATAGCGTACACGCGATCGCAGGCTAAGCATATTTACCCGTGCCGTGAGAGAGCATTTGAGCACGACGATCTTGAGTAACTAGGATCGACGTGATCCGATGGCACAACGCGCGGAAAATACGGTGCCCCGAGTCACGTTTCTCTTTCGCTCGTACACGATCCCGGCCCTGCTTGCGCTGCTCGCCGCCCCACGACATATAAATAATTGATTTATTGTACGATTTGTAACTCGACTCGATGCCCACTCCGGCCTGATACGTCCGAAGTTCATGCATGCACCGACGCCGCGTTTCTCACCGAATCGACACGCGGCCAGGTTTATCGGCGGCTATTGGCCGTTACTATTCCATTGTGTAATTGCATTGGTGTTGCTGGTAAACGATATCGCGGCGGAGTATCCAGCTGTAAGCGCGATCGTAAAGCTTGAACCCGGGTTCACGGCGCTTCGACCACGCTTAGATATCACCAGCATTTTTTTTTTTTTTTTCTTCACCCTCTACCCAGCTACCAGCATAACTCTGTGTCCAACCAATTTCCATCTGTTTTTTTTTTTTTCGTTTCTTTTCTTTTCTTTCCTCTGATGCGTTTGGTGCTCGTGATTTTTGCAGATCGTATTAATTGCCCTTTTTATTGAAATTCAGAACATTCAGAAAATCGAATCTCTTTCGTCAATCTCTTCGTTAACTGTCGCGTATTTTTTTTTTTTTCGCATCCGCGTG